TAACGTTTTTTGCAGCACGCGAGCAAACCTCCGTTCTGTGCCCTATGTTGAAGATAATTATGCAGAATGCAATTTGTAATAGTTCTGATAACCCAATGTACGCGGTGAAGGAATACGACTAAGCAAATCTTAGTAAGGAATCTGATCAGTTTACAGACTTCCAATACAAACTATGAACGAAAGCTGAAACTCAACCTGCGGACCAATCACCTCCTAGACTGGTCGTTTGAAATGCCTCTCCGTGTACTGCGTTTGTTGTAATGCGAAGGCGTTTCGCAGTTTTAGTTTGAGAACAAACTTGGAATAAACAGTTAATTCCGAATTTCAAAGGATGTAAGTCATTAAAGTTAGGAAACAGGGCGTGTTTCAGCTCAATGGAAATCAGGGATAAACAGCATGCGAAAGTGCATAATTTTGGCCAGTATGAGAAGGAATTGAGAAGATGACTCGATCGCTGAGACAATATTTTTATTCGCCTGACGTTTCGACATCCATCGCGGATTCATCATCAGAAACATTAGCAGAAAGCGGTAGCAGAAACGGGTCAGAATTGGTAGACTGATCTTTATCTAAATGAATTCTGCTCTAACACCATAGTGCTTTTTGTGTCCCAAGTATTTTAGATCCTGATAAGACTAATTTTAAATTCTTGCTTTTGCTGAACAAACAGTTTTCTTTCAGTTATATTATCTCTGGAGATAGAAAAGCTACCTATGTTTCAGCCTATCACGCTTCGGGAAAATTCTGCTACGGCGTTGTTCTTGTTGTTGTTCGAATTATCATAGTTTGTTTTGCATTACTTAGTAGAAAATACTGCTCTGCTGCCAACATTCCGCAGTCCCATTGTTCATTCTGTCCCTGCTTCGCTGTATGGTGGTACGCTTATTGCAGATTTACCCCTGCCAGGCAACTGCGTCCAATGCCGCTTCCGGTATTCTTTACTCTGTCTTGATACCGGACACAGGCGGGGAAGCGAAGAGGCAGTGAGGTATATGTACGCACGTACACACTCACGCACAAGTCACCGTCTGCCGTGGAGCAGGTGGTTGATATCGTCAAAACGCGACGGTCAAATCTTCACTTCCCCCGCAGGGTTGGGGAACGCCCTGAACAAAGTGCTGCTTTTCTTACTTCAGTGATTGGTGTCCACAGAAAAATACAACTTGTTTTGCTCTACGGTTACTTTCTCGTAAAAGCGAAGCACTTTTAAGTAGGAGATTTGGCTCCGGCAATTGGCGTCCTCGACTACCTTAACACATTCCAAAATGGCACCTCCTGAAGGACCTATTCTGACTTGTCTCCAATCATAGGTATCATATAGTCTTACGTATAGTATTTTTGTCAATCCTACCTTTGAATTATTAGTCGACAGTACCTGGCAGTTCGACCGTTGGTTTCGATTAGGACCACCGTGTGTTCCATAGGTTGTTGCAGGCACAGTGACTTGCTTTGAATTATAGTGAGAAAAGATTTGCGCTGCATGTTAATCCCTCCGTATTCTACTTCCCCGCCTGGACCCGTTGACAAGGCGGAGTCAGGAAAACCGTAGATAGGAGAGAGCACAGGCCCACGCAATGTGGTCCACCACAGCTAAGAAAAGAATAACAAATGAAGGGCTCGAGTTTCAGTTCGGTTGGAGTCCCATAACGGCCACATTAAGAAGGAGCCAGTCAGCTACTCCATACGGAACAACACACACTTGGTTGATCATTCAGTTTCGGCCGGTCAGTTTTCTAATTTGCGGTGGGTGCAGTAGCTGACAGGGCCGGCCAACCCATCTGCACACGCCACAGTACGACCTGCTTCACTTTCCGTACAAATCAAGTTTACC